TTTCCCTTTGCTCTCTCTGGGTGTGGAGTGGGCCCGGCGTGGTGGGGAGGGACGAGGGGCCTTCACCGTCCAGGACACCCACGGGCGGTGTGCTGAGGTCACAAGGTTGCTCTTGGGGCCAGGCTCGCGGCTCCTAGCCCAGGAAGCAAGCCGGCCCCACTTCAAATCCGAATTTCTGTGACGCTTCACCAAAGTCGTTGAACATGATGTCCACAATGGGCACTTGCTCCACCTTGGGGGTGTCGATTTCCAGAACGGTCTTCTGATACCCTTTCTTTGTCTGGGGAAGGGGAGGCAGGGGGATGCGGGTCAGCGGGGGCTCCGAGATGAACCAGCCGTCCACGCCCGCCACGGCTCCAAAAACCCACGCACAGCAGGACGAGCCGTGGGGAGCCGGCAGCGCATCCCAAGACGTCCGCCTCACCCCCCGTCCGGGAGGGGCACAGGAGCGCGCGTCCCCTCCCCGCCAGGTGGCACATCCACACCAGGGACTCCTTGTTCGAAGATGAACAAGTCTGAGAATCCCAAGACAGCAACAGCTGATCACAGGCCCTCCCTGGGGCCATCAGCAGGCTGGACCATGATCGGAAGTGAGAGGGATCTGCGTTCACAAGTTCGAGGACAGGGAACCTTACCCGCCCTCAGAGGAGTACTGGGTAAACTGAGGTATAGAGGGACCGGGCGAGCTTGGGGGAGGAGCATCTGCTGGGATGAGTCAGGCCTTCCCTTGCTCCGACCACCTGTTCCATCCCCGTGAGCATCTGAGTTCACGCTCAGCACCACCCTGGGGGACGTGAGCCCCACGTTTCCAAATAGGAGAGTGAGCCCCAGGAAAGGGACAGAACTGCTCCAGGAGTGGTGTCACCCCTCTCCCGCCAGCCACATCTCCCAGAATACAGGGGGTGAAGGTGCAGGTCCACCCTGGTCAGACAGCACCTACACCCAACCCTGAGCATCAGGACACTTGTCAGGGATGCACTGGCCCCGTCCCCCGTCAACTGCCCCAAGACGAGGGTCCTGGATCCTCGTGGACACGGTCTGCCCACCTGTCTGGGACCAGCAGCCTTCTCTACCTCGCACTGGCCCAGGCACATCCTCAGCTGGATCTGGCCCCGGGGAGGCCCTCCCTCCCATCTGATTCCCAGCGAGGCATGTCCAGCTGAGGGAGAAGGCAGTGCCTCCCGGGGCCTCGTTCCCCTCCCGTGGGACAGCGTGGGTCCGTCCCTCTGGGGGAGGCCGTGACCATCACCTCTGTGGCCACATAAAGCCCCTGGAGCCCTGCATGACCCTGGAGAGGCGCTCAGTAAGTCCAGCTGCTATGAGGTGGCCTTCACTCTCCGGGTGGTAGCTTCCACGATGGCCGCAGCCCCCATATTCCCCACGGATCCCTCCCTAGGGGGAGCCCACTTGGTGAGGAACAGTCCCTCACGAGGGCACCTTCATGTGACAGCAGCTCAGCAACCTCACGGCACCATTAGGGACAGACTGTGTGTGGCCCCCAGATCCAGGTGGGGAAGCCTTAGCTTAGTGTGACCGAGTTGGGAGGCAGAGCCATTGGGAGCCAATTAGGTCACAGTGGAGTCTCATGAATGGGATTCGTGCCCCTTTAAGAAACAGCTGGGGGCTTCCCTGGTGGTGCGGTGGTTGAGAGTCCGCCTGCCGATGCAGGGGACG